TCATCCCTGCATGCGGACCCCCGCCCTGGGACCCCCGCGGCGACCTTCCAGTCGCGCATCACCTCCTCGCGAATCATGGCGGCAGCAGCTTTTGACGAAACGCCCTGGGACACGATGCGCTGCAGCGTCTCGTCCATCAGGGCCTGTGACAAGGCCTTCGGGGAATCCTGGAACGCGCGGCGGAGGTCTTCTATCGACCAGGACTTGTCCATAATCTGAACCATCTGCAGCCACTTCGGGCCGCTCCATCCGAGACGGCACTGAACGGTGCTGATCTTCTCAGTGTCACGTCTCATGCATTTGACACTCATCTGGGGGCCGTCACTCGGGGTGAAGAGGAACGTGCCTCGAGGGCGCTCAACCACGGACCCCTCTTCCTCCTCCTCCTGCTTTTCCTGGCCGTCCTCAGCCCCGTCGGCCTCGGCCTCGGCTCCGTCCTCGGGGCCCCCCCCCTCGTCGCCCTCGTGGTCTTCTTCCTCGCCCTCCCCCTCCCCATCCTCCTCACCCTCCTCGCCCTCGTCCTCGGGATCGCCCTGATCCGAGCCTCCCTCGTCTTTATCCTCCCCATCCTCCTGTTTCTTCTTCTTCTTATTCTTATTATTATTATTCTTCTTCTCTTTCTTGCATCCTGCCTTGGCCTGCGAGCGTTCGGGCCCCCCCTTCTTTGTCGGCGGCGCCTGGGCAGCAGCGGGCCTGTTTCATGCCTTGCTTGTTCGGGGGGGGAGTGGGTTTTGTCTTCGGGGGCCCGCCGCTGCCGGGCGATCTGGCGGGCGCCGCCGCTGGCCGCTTCAATCCTTTCAGCCACGGGGGGCTGTCTGGCACCACTTTATCTTTCTTGCGTTTCTTGTCGTCCTTCTTCCGTTTCTTGTCTTTATTTCCCCTTTTTCTTTTTTTTTATTTCTGCGGCCCGTCATGTGTGAAGTGCAGCTTGATATCTACCTGATTGACCAATCCTCTTGAAATCGCACGCCTCCTGCTGAACAAATGCCTCTGGTGGGGAAATTTCCAATTCCAGCGCTATCTGATCTTCTCTCTTCTCTTGCGTCGTTAATCGCGGCACAGTACCTGATGTGTCTTTCAACCAATCACAAGGATGTGGGTCACAATCAATATCAAAGTCAGCTGATGCAATATAGTCACTCTGATCGTCGTCCGATGGCAAAATAGATGCTCCCTGCGAGTCCGTTTTCAATCCAACAGCCCACAGCGGTCTTTTGTAAAAACCAGACAGATCCTGATCTTCCTGCGATCCCCACGATATCTTAATGTCAAGAACGGGGACAGAGAATCAATGTGATCACAGCCCCCGCGACGCGTCAAACACGCGCCGCACGAGAGGGGGGCTCGAGGCTAGCCTGTGTGTGTGTGCCCTGACGTGGGCTCTGTTCGACGTCGAACCCTGACGTCTCGGACCCTGACGTCTCGGACCCTGACGTCTTGAGTCAGGTGAAGAAATTCACAACCATTTCGAGAGACAGAAAAAAAAAGGAAAGAAAGAAAGAAGGGGAGAACAAAACAAAAAAAAAAAAAAAAAAAAAAAAAGTCTACTACAAATAGCTTTGCGAACCTAACTCGGGCACAAGACTGAGTTCAGACCTTTACATGGAACAGACGAGCGCGCCTGATGATTCTTAATCGATTCGTCCGCACCAGCTCTGTAGCTCTCCTACATGTCGAGCTAAGTACAGAAAACCGACAGCATCTGTCAAGATGACTCGAATAATACGAATAGGTTCGCGGACCTAGCTCGAGTAGCAGACCGAGTTCAGACCTCTAGACAACAGATGAACGCACCTGATATTTCGCAATGGGTTTCTGGAAGCATCAGCTCTGTAGCTGTCATACAGCTCGAGTTAAGTCCAGAAAACCGACAGCACCTGTCAAGATGACTCGAATACTACGAATAGGTTCGCGGACCTAGCTCGAGTAGCAGATCGAGTTCAGACCTCTAGATACAGCAGATGAACGCGCCTGATGATTTTGAATGCTTTTCTGTAAGTATCACTATGTAGCTGTCCTACAGCTCGAGTTAAGGACAGAAGACCGACAGCATCTGTCAAGATGACTCGAATAATACGAATAGTTCCGCGGACCTAACTCGAGTAGCAGACCAAGTTCAGACCTCTCGATACAACAGACGAACGCGCCTGATGATTCTAAGAGGGTTTCTGTATGCATCAGCTCTGTAACTGTCCTACAGCTCGAGTTAAGTACAAAAAACCGACAACGCCTGTCAAGATGACTCGAAACAGCCGATCCCGCCGGAGTGCTTTTTGGCAGTAAAAGATACCCGATCGAGCTCAGATGAAGACGGCGAGCGGGAATAAGATCGAATATCACGGGAAAAAATACTAGAGCTCTGACGAATTTTTGAATTTCGAGAACATCATTTTCAACCGAGCAAAGGTCATAAAAAAAAGTCCGTCGAGATTTGACTTGCCAACTAGCTCTCCAGCGCGTTCGAATTACTCTTAAGCTTCCAGCAACTAGCTAAGGGAAGCTCTACGAGTTATTTTTAACCGAGCAAAAGTCACCAAAAGGTCCGTCGAGATTTCTCTTGCCAACTAGCTCTCCAGCGCGTTCGAATTAATCTTAAGCTTCCAGCAACTAGCTAAGGTAGCTAAGGGAAGCTCTACGAGTTACTAGCTGCACCCCGCGCCGGAATTCCTCTAGCTCATCGACGCCGAAGAGCTCTACGCGGTATTACTCTTAAGCTCCCAGCACCTAGCTAAGGGAAGCTCTACGAGTTACTACTCTTAAGTTTCCAGCAACTAGCTAAGGGAAGCTCTACGAGTTACTAGCTCCACCCCGCGCCGGAATTCCTTTAGCTCATCGGTGACGAAGAGCTCTACGAGGTGCTAGCTCCACCCCGCGCCGGAATTCCTCTAGCTCATCGATAACGAAGAGCTCTACGAGGTATTACTCATAAGCTTCCAGCAACTAGCTGAGGGAAGCTCTACGAGTTACTCTTAAGCTTCCAGCAACTAGCTAAAGGAAGCTCCACGAGTTACGAGGTAATACTCTTAAGCTTCCAGCAACTAGCCCGGGGAAGCTCTACGAGTTACTAGCTGCACGCCCCGAAAGTGGCGACAGTTTCGCAGATCGCAGCCCCTCAGAGATGGCGAGGTCTAATTTGGGTCCGCGCGTGGCCCTCACTGTGCTGGGCCCCCCAGCAGGCCTCGAAAATGGCTACAGTTTCGCAGATCGCAGCCCCCCAGGGATGGCGAGGTCTAATTTGGGTCCGCCCGTGGCCCTCACTGTGCTGGGCCCCCCAGCAGGCCTCGAAAATGGCGACAGTTTCGCAGATCGCAGCCCCCCAGGGATGGCGAGGTCTAATTTGAATCCGCCGTGGCCCTCACTGTGCTGGGCCCCCCAGCAGGCCTCGAAAATGGCGACAGTTTCGCAGATCGCAGCCCCCCAGGGATGGCGAGGTCTAATTTGGGTCCGCCCGTGGCCCTCACTGTGCTGGGCCCCCCAGCAGGCCTCGAAAATGGCGACAGTTTCGCAGATCGCAGCCCCCCAGGGATGGCGAGGTCTAATTTGGGTCCGCCCGTGGCCCTCACTGTGATCGGCCCCCCAGCAGGCCTCGAAAATGGCTACAGTTTCGCAGATCGCAGCCCCCCAGGAATGGCGAGGTCTAATTTGGGTCCGCCCGTGGCCCTCACTGTGCTGGGCCCCCCAGCAGGCCTCGAAAGTGGCGACAGTTTCACAGATCGCAGACCCCCGCAGGCAAGACAGGAAGAGGCAAGAGGGAGGCGGGAGGCAGGAGGAGTGACGCGACCACCCTGCTCTATTCAAAACGAATACCCAACCAAGGAGGGTTGGGGAAAAAATCAGTCGCATACGAATAGTTTTGCGGACCTAGCTCGAGTAGCACACTGTGTTCAGAGCTCTAGATGCTTCAGCCGAACGCAACTGATGATTCTGGATCGGTTTCTGTGCGCACCAGCTCTCTAGCTCTGCTACAGCTCGAGTTAAGTACAGAATACCGACAGCGCCTGTAAATTTGAACACGAAGAATACGAATAGTTTCGCGGACCTAGATCGAGTAGCAGACTAAGTTCAAACCTCTCCATGCGACAGACGAACGCATCTGGTGATACTGGATCGGTATGTGTGTAGCAGCTCTGTAGCTCTTCTAGATCTTGAGTTAAGTACAGAAAACCGACAGCGCTTGTCAAAATAACTGGAAGAATACGCATAGTTGTGCGGACCTGGCTCGAGTAGCAGACCGAGTTCAGCTCTCTGGGATGCAACAGACGAACGCGACTGATGATTCTGAATCAGTTTCTGTAAGTACGAGCTCTGTAGCTCTCCTAAATCTCGAGTTAAGTACAGAAAACCATCAACGCGTGTCAAGATGACTCGAAACAGAGCCGGTTCCTGCAAGTCTTTTGATAGTAATATTGCAGCTACGGACCTGGGAATTTGACTGGCAGACGCGGCATAACCCACTACACGTGAGAAAAATCTGGTTTCTCAAAATGAATGGTCAAATATCTTTCAAACCTTAGCAAAACCGACCCTAAGTCACCACATTGTCTCTTAAGGTCGGGTCTGCCAACTAGCTCCACCCTGCGCCCGAATTCCTCTCAGCTCATCTTGCCGAAGAGCTCTACGAGGTATTACTCTTAAGCTTCCAGCGACTAGCTAAGGGAAGCTCTACGAGTTACTAGCTAAGGGAAGCTCTACGAGTTACTTTCTAGCTTCGCCGCTAACGCTCTAAGGGAAGCTCTACGAGTTATCTGTCGGCGTTAGGTGGTTCCGTGCTCCACTGCGCACAGAGGTTCATGCGAAGGGTCGCCTGACACTTGGTAGCGTCCACTTGGTAGCGTCCACATTGGTAGCGTCCACTTGGTAGCGTCCACCTCGGCGCTGTGTGTCTGTGTTTCTGTGTGTCTGTGTGTCCGTGTTTCTGTGTGTCTGTGTGTCTGTGTGTCTGTGTGTCAGCGTGTCTGTGTGTCTGTGTCTGGCATGTGTGTGCGCTGGTGTGCGTTTGCGTGTGTGTGTGTGTGCGTGTGCGTGTGTGTGGCTGCGTGATTGTTTGCGTGCGTGCGTGTGTGTGTGCGGGTGTTCGCGTGTGGGCGTGAGCATCCCTGTGCGGGAGTGGCCGCCGCTGCCGACGGTTCTGGGGGGGCAGCGCGACCTTGGCGGCGCTGGCCTCGTCGGTGGGCGGTGGAGGCTGGGCGACTTCGAGGATTGCGTGTACGTGTGTCTGTGTTCCTTTTTGTTAATGTGTCTGTGTGTCTGTCTGTGTCTTTTGTGAGTATGTGTGTCTGTGAGTCGTGTGCCTTTGTGTCTCTGTGTCTGTGTGGCTGTGTGTCTGTGTGTCTGTGTGTCTGTGTGTCAGCGTGTCAGTGCGGCAGTGGCAGTGTGTCACTGTGTCAGTGTTTGTCAGTGTGTCTGTGTGTCTGTGTGTCTGTGTGTCTGTGTGTCT